CTGTTCCTCCAACATAGGGTCACTTGGCAGATATGGATTGACACCTGTCCTCAGAGAACATGATACACACTGACACAGAACAGAATAGAGACTGTTCCCCCTACATAGGGTCACTTGGCAGATATGGATTGACACCTGTCCTCAGAGATCATGATACACACTGACACAGAGTAGAATAGAGACTGTTTCCCCTACATAGGGTCACTTGGCAGATATGGATTGACACCTGTCCTCAGAGACCATGATACACACTGACACAGAGCAGAATAGAGACTGTTCCCCCTACATAGGGTTACTTGGCAGATATGGATTGACACCTGTCCTCAGAGACCATGATACACACTGACACAGAGCAGAATAGAGACTGTTACCCCTACATAGGGTCACTTGGCAGATATGGTTTGACACCTGTCCTCAGAGACCATGATACACACTGACACAGAGCAGAATAGAGACTGTTCCCCCTACATAGGGTCAGTTGGCAGATATGGATTGACACCTGTCCTCAGAGACCATGATACACACTGACACAGAGCAGAATAGAGACTGTTCCCCCTACATAGGGTCACTTGGCAGATTTGGATTGACACCTGTCCTAGGGATCCTGATACACACTGACACAGAGCAGAATAGGGACTGTTCCTCCTACATAGGGTCACTTGGCAGATATGGATTTACACCTGTCCTCAGAGCCCCTGATACACACTGACACAGATCAGAATAGGGAATGTTACCCCAACATAGGGTCACTTGGCAGATATGGATTGACACCTGTCCTCAGAGACCATGATACACACTGACACAGAGCAGAATAGAGACTGTTTCCCCTACATAGGGTCACTTGGCAGATATGGATTGACACCTCTCCTCAGAGCCCCTGATACACACCGACACAGAGCAGAATAGAGACTGTTCTCCTACATAGGGTCACTTGGCAGATATGGATTGACACCTGTCCTCAGAGACCATGATACACACCGACACAGAGCAGAATAGAGACTGTTCCTCCTACATAGGGTCACTTGGCAGATATGGATTGACACCTGTCTTCAGAGAACATGATACACACTGACACAGAGCAGAATAGACTGTTCCCCCTACATAGGGTCACTTGGCAGATATGGATTGACACCTGTCCTCAGAGACCATGATACACACTGACACAGAGCAGAATAGGGACTGTTCCTCCTACATAGGGTCACTTGGCAGATATGGATTGACACCTGTCCTCAAAGATCATGATACACACTGACACAGAGCAGAATAGAGACTGTTCCCCTACATCGGGTCACTTGGCAGATATGGATTGACACCTGTCCTCAGAGACCATGATACACACTGACACAGAGCAGAATAGAGACTGTCCCCCCTACATTGGGTCACTTGGCAGATATGGATTGACACCTGTCCTCAGAGACCATGATACACACTGATACAGAGCAGAATAGAGACTGTTCCCCCTACATAGGGTCACTTGGCAGATATGGATTGACTGTTCCCCCTACATACACACTATTGGATCTCGCAAAACTTACCAAGGATCTAAATCATGTTCCCGTATCGTACATGAAAAACCTACTCATACAAAATCTCTTCCCAAACGTAATTTCGTTCGAAGTGGAGAGAATGTTAAAAAAATATATTTTTGTTCTGAGTGTGAGAAATGCTTTTCAGCCGCTTCTAATCTTAAGCATCATTTGAGGAGCCATACAGGAGAGAAACCTTATTTGTGGTGTGTTTAGTATTGTTCTGATCAATTTAATACCTTCCGCGTCTCCTATCAGTGGACGTGTATATGGCAGCCATTTTAGGAACCGCACACCTGGGACCCGAGCAAGGTCACCCAAATGGCAGGCGAAAGGATCTTAAACCATATCAGAGGTGAGGTTGACTAAAGCTCAGTACTGCTATTTAAGCAGTATTTCGCCTGCCTTTGGCCGCAATAAGGCTGCACTGTATGGTCTCCAGCCGTCTGGCTAAGGTGAAGGGAAGAGATCCCTCAACTCATTAAGAATCAACACGGCTGGTGGGGCAGGGCCTGACTGGAAACATGGAAGGACGCATTTCAATCAAGGGGTTGTCCTGTGTTTAAAATACACGCCTGACACTCTGGGGGCATTAACCCCTTCCATTACATGGCATGGAAGTGGCTTATCTGCAAGTTTTATTAATCTATCCAGTTTATGTAATTTCATTCATTTCTTAACTGCATTTTTAATGAAGGCAAGGGTACATGATATATAATATTACTTTCATCATTTATTTTGTGTATACTTTATCTTATTTTTTTCATAAGAGTGAGTTACTTTTCTGTGAAAGTTGGATATGGCAGAAGCAAATACATTTGCAATCGTCAAATTTATAGATGAAGATGATGCTCCAGGCATTATTCTACTTTCATGGCTGGCGACTGATTACTCTACATGTTACTATCCCGAGTCTAAAACTGACCAAATGAGAGAACGCCTCATTAAGGATGACGTGAGTCCACAGAACAAAGCATACAAGTGGGCAATCTAATGTGCCACCAGATAGAAGTGGTGTGTTTAGTATTGTTCTGATCAGTTTAATACCTTCCGCGTCTCCTATCAGTGGACGTGTATATGGCAGCCATTTTGTCAGATTCAAGTTCTTGTGCCCCACAGTTCAAATTAACATTCAAATGACAATTCATGACAGATCACACAAGTGAATAGCCCTGCCAACGTCGTCTCAGAATTCTTTTGTTATCTAAGAAGAAATAGAAATGCAAGAGCAGAATAGAGACTGTTCCCCGTCCTCAGAGACCATGATACACACTGACACAAAGCAGAATAGAGACTGTTCCCCGTCCTCAAAGCCCCTGATACACACTGACAAAGAGCGGAATAGAGACTGTTCCCCCTACATAGGGGCACTGCGCGTGCAATCTAATGTGCCACCAGATAGGAGTGGTGTGTTTAGTACTATTCTTATCAGTTTAATACCTATTGCGTCTCCTATCAGTGGACGTGTATATGGCAGCGATTTTTGGAACAGGGAGATGGAAGAAGATGCTTGGTCGGTCCTCCTAACTGGAGACTGTGTTGCTGTACGGGTGGCAGGTGGAGCCATTTATAAAGTACCCACTGCTTTGCAGACCAGGTATCAGTGGTCAGATGGACCCTTGCCCCAACACTGTGTGCCAGACATGCCATTACTTCCTTTTGCACAGTCGAGTACAGGTTGGGGATTGCCTTTTGCGCGAAGAAATTTTGGCCGGGTACCTTCCACTGCGGTGTCCCAATAGCTACAAATTTTTTGAACGCCTCAGATTCCACCAGATTGTATGGTAAAAGCTGGCGGGCTAATAGTTCAGACAAGCCAGGTGTCAGACGCCGGGCAAGGGGGTGACTTTCTGACGCTTGCAGACAACTAATTGCTATTCAATCTATAACAGTGAAAAAAGTTTTGAAGCCACAGTGCAGCACCAGAGGGCCTAAAAATTAGGCATGTACACATGTCTGAAAAATTCGGTATTGTTGCAGCCGCTGCTGTAGCAGCGGCCAGAAAAATTGATGTTTGTTTCACAGGCAGAAAGTGCCCTAAAACATGGCGGCTTGAACCCTAGTTGGTGGCGGATAAGTCACGCAAGTCAACCGTCATTCAGAGCTAAAATACAGCAGCGTGTGGACCATTTTTAGCCCAAGGCAGCTCATCTCATCAGGCCTTTTTTAATCTAATGTATCGCCCAGTGTCAGTCCCTTCGGGATCCATCCCTCATTCATCTTAATAAAGGTGAGGTAATCTAGACTTTTTTGACCTAGGCAACTTCTCTTCTCAGTGACAATACCTCCTGCTGCACTGAAGGTCCTTTCTGACAGGACACTTGAAGCGGGGCAGGCCAGAAGTTCTATCGCAAATTGGAATAGCTCAGGCCACAGGTCAAGCCTGCACACCCAGTAGTCAAGGGGTTCATCGCTCCTCAGAGTGTCGATATCTGCAGTTAAGGCGAGGTAGTCTGCTACCTGTCGGTCGAGTCGCTCTCTGAGGGTGGATCCCAAAGGGCTGTGGCGATGCGTAGGACTTAAAAAAGCCGCATGCCTCCATCAACAACACGTCTAAAAGTCCTGTCCTTGCCGGCGTGGTCATGGGAGGAGGAGGATGACTTCCACCTCTCCCCCTGTTAGATTCCCGTTGTGCTGTGACATCACCCTTATACGCTGTGTAAAGCATACTTTTCAATTTATTTTGCAAATGCTGCATCCTTTCATACTTGTTGTAATTCGGTAACATTTCCGCCACTTTCTGCTTATACCGGGGGTCTAGTAGCGTGGACACCCAGTACAGGTCGTTCTCCTTCAGCCTTTTTATACGAGGGTCCCTCAACAGGCACGACAGCATGAAAGACCCCATTTGCACAAGGTTGGATGCCGAGCTACTCATTTCCCGTTCCTCCTCCTCACTGATGTCAATGAAGGTATTTTCTTCCCCCCAGCCACGTACAACACCACAGGTACCAGATAGGTGACAACGAGCACCCTGGGATGCCTGTTGTGGTTGGTCTTGCTCCTCCTCTTCTCCTCCTCAAAGCCACATTCCTCCTCTGACTCCTCTTCCTCACAATCCTCTTCCAGCGTTGCCGCAGGTCCAGCAAGCGATGCTGATAAGGCTGTTTCTGGAGGTGATGGTGACCACAACTCTTCCTCTTCCTCTTCACGCTCATCTACGGCCTGATCCAGCACTCTTCGCAGGGCACGCTCCAGGAAGAAAACAAATGGTATGATGTCGCTGATGGTGCCTTCGGTGCGACTGACTAAATTTGTCACCTCCTCAAAAGGACGCATGAGCCTACAGGCATTGCGCATGAGCGTCCAGTAACGTGGCAAAAAAATTCCCAGCTCCCCAGAGGCTGTCCTAGCACCCCGGTCATACAAATATTCATTAACGGCTTTTTCTTGTTGGAGCAGGCGGTCGAACATTAGGAGTGTTGAATTCCAACGTGTCGGGCTGTCGCAAATCAAGCGCCTCACTGGCATGTTGTTTCGCCGCTGGATATCGGCAAAGTGAGCCATGGCCGTGTAGGAACGCCTGAAATGGCCACACACCTTCCTGGCCTGCTTCAGGACGTCCTGTAAGCCTGTGTACTTATGCACAAAGCGTTGTACGATCAGATTACACACATGTGCCATGCACGGCACATGTGTCAACTTGCCCAACTTCAATGCCGCTAACAAATTTGTTCCGTTGTCACAAACCACTTTGCCGATATCCAGTCGCTGCGGAGTCAGCCATTTTTCCACCTGTGCGTTCATGGCGGACAGGAGTGCTTGTCCGGTGTGACTCTCTGCTTTCAAGCAAGTCAAACCCAAGACGGCGTGACACTGCCGTATCCGGGATGTGGAATAGTACCTGGGGAGCTGGGGGGGTGCCGTTGATGTGGAGCAAGACGCAGCAGCAGAAGAGGACTCAGCCGAGGAGGTTATGGAAGAGGATGGAGTAGGAGGAGTAGAGGAGGTGGCAGCAGGACTGCCTGCAAGTCGTGGCGGTGTCACCAACTCCTCTGCAGAGCCATGCATTCCATGCTTGGCAGCAGTCAGCAGGTTTACCCAATGCGCAGTGTAGGTGATATACCTGCCCTGACCATGCTTTGCAGACCAGGTATCAGTGGTCAGATGGACCCTTGCCCCAACACTGTGTGCCAGAGATGCTATTACTTCCTTTTGCACAATTGAGTACAGGTTGGGGATTGCCTTTTGCGAAAAGTAATTTCGGCCGGGTACCTTCCACTGCGGTGTCCCAATAGCTACAAATTTTTTGAACGCCTCAGACTCCACCAGCTTGTATGGTAAAAGCTGGCGGGCTAATAGTTCGGACAAGCCAGCAGTCAGACGCTGGGCAAGGGGGTGACTTTCTGACATTGTCTTCTTACGCTCAAACATGTCCTTGACAGACATATGACTGTGGGAAGATGAGCGTGAACTGCTCAAGGCGGGAGGCGGAGTGGCGGATGGTTGAGAGGGGGCAAGGAGGACAGCAGTGGTTGACGTGGCTGAAGATGCTGGACCAGGAGGAGGATGGCGGCTTAGAGTAGGCTTGCTGCTTGTACTCATGTGTTGATCCCATAGGCGTTTGTGATGTGAGATCATGTGCCTACGCAAAGCAGTTGTACCTAGGTGGGTGCTGGACTTCCCACGACTCAGTTTCTTTTGGCACAGGTTGCAAATGGCATCGCTGTTGTCAGAGGCAGACACACACAAAAAATTCCACACTGCTGAGCTCTGCAATGACAGCATTCTGGTGGTGGACACAGCATGCGTTGATTGGCGTGTTGTCGGGCTGACCCGGGTGCCGATGCATGCTGTCTGACTGTGCCACTAGCTCCTTGCGACGACCTCCCCCTGCTTCCAACTCGTCTCCTCCTCCTCC